TCAACATGCCATGATTTCCTGAATGCAGCAGGAAAAAACTGTAAATTTAAATTTATTATCATATTCAGATTTCAGATATCTCAAGAATAAGATTCCAGCTCGCATACATGAATTATATGTCTTTTGTGACACAGAGGCATTGAGGAGACCGTGGTGGGTACCGTGAACTGTGTTTTGTGGGACAGTGGAAGCTGTCCTGACTGCTGTCCTTCCCTTCTTGTCAGCAGGTCTGCGTTTGTGCAAAATCCTCTTTCTGTTCATTCAAATTGTCCTGGGAACACTCTGGAGCCAGAGGAGGTCTTAGTGCTCAAGACCAGCAGTGCACAGATGTCTGCATGATGCTTGACGGGGGCACCCCGACAGGGGCTCCACATCTGTATGTGCACAGCTCATAAGAAAGGGAAATTGCAGCTTTCCCTCCAAGACTGACCACTACTGTTGGACTGCAGCAAGTGCTCTGGTTGGACTCCAGGCTCCTTCGCTTACTGTCTTATGGCTATGAACAAATTTTCTCAGTGACCTAACTGGTAAAATAGTGTCGGTATCATGGTCCCAGGTCATAGAAGTGTTTCTGCTGACATGCATTTTCACTATTTTGTACATGTGAATCACATTTATAGTTTGAATTTGCATTTTTATCAGTACCATCCAGTTAGCACTTATTTTCTAGCTGGTTCAGTTATAATATTAGTTTATTACACCTTTCTCACTCGAGTCATCTCGGGGTAGTCTGTCACTTCCACTTAGTTTACGTACTTTCATATGGCTTAGCACAATGTTTGGTGCCAAATAGGGTTTCTGTGAATATTAGATTTTCCTCTCTGATTTTTAGTTAAGTAAATATATTTCTAATGGTTGTAGCTCTGTGCAGTTCTGGACAGGTAGATATAGGAGGAACCCTGGAACTTGCTGGCACATCTCAAAGGAGGTAGACAGCCTTCTAGAGGGATGGCACCCAAGGTTGTCCTTCTGCCTCCATATACATCATATATACCAAATCACATGCATCCACACACATGCACAGACACAAGGGTCCAGAAAACATGCATGGGATCACTTTAGGAGTAGTGGACAAGAATATAGATATTTTACATTATTACAAAGGCCATTTGGTAAGACTCTTGGATACTTTTAAATTGTATTGAAATTTTGATGGTGTAAATAGTTTTAACCCTAAGCTCAGAATTATAGATTATGTTAATAGTAATAATAATATTAATGTTATAATTGTTGTATATAATTATATAATGTTCACTATTGTATTATAATTTATAGCAACATATAATTATGGTATTATACTATAATTACTTAATAATAATGTTAATAATAATTTTCAATGCAAGTTATTGGCTACAAATAATAGTTGATAGGTGAGATTTTAAAAATCTCTGCATTCAGGTTAGAGGTGACACTGAATAGTCAGGTTAGAGAGCTACTGTCTTAGACAGCTAGATTGCAAGAACATCATTCTGTAGAATAGTCACCTAGGACAGCCAGCTTACTAATTTCAGTCAAGTAATATGTGATCTATACACTGACTCACTCTCTAAGAGCTTTGAGGAATGAGGAGATCCTTGGCCATGAATCCTATTACCAAGGCTTTGAAATCTTAGCCTGTTCCATTCATTTCCTCTCCCACATGATTATAGCTGGAACTTTTGCTGTACTTTGTGGCCAGACTGACTCTTACAGATGTGTCATTGGGTCCTTGCCTGACTGGGCGGGGAGTGGCAGTTCCTGAGTCATGGCCCTTGAATCTCATATTCTCATAACCTTGTGGTTTCTCTGGCTTGATGAATTTTGTCTAAGATGCAGCTTTAAAAAAATGAAATGAGAAAAGAACATAATTTTTATATTGCAAAACTAGGCTGTTTCTTCTTTCTTAGATCAGTTGTAACCTATTCTGTCCAACTTTCTACTGAGAAGATTCTGTTTCATTTGTTAAAGAAATGCACATGTTGTGCTTTCTAGTCTTAATTCTAAAGTTATTTGTGTATTTAAACAGAATATACATATTGAATATGCAAATGGTGAGATACCATGCTGTATGCTTGGATGCAAAGATTGAGATGGAGTCTCTCAATAGACCCTTTGGGGTGAAAGTCACGTGTTACAATGGAAGAACAGGTGGACTGCTGTAACATGTAGGAGAGGCACCTACCTGAACATGGTGTTGGGACAGTGTGGGGAGGGAAGTCTTTGAGGGTGAGGGTGGTCGGTGTATCATTAAGCCTGACATGCTGACTTCTCTTCTGGTGTTAAAAAAGCTGATTGATCCTTCCCTTGAAGAGGACATAGGAGTGATTCTATCTGAGATCAGTGGACATATACTTCTCTCTATGGTGGCCAGCACTCAGAGCGCAGGCCCAGTGGACACTTCAGGGAGAATGAGAGGCCAGATTATGCTGAACTTAAGACTGGATGCTGAGAGCTGCATGTGTCTGGAGTCTGATGGAAGCTATGAAAGGGAAGTGAGCAGGAGATTGACACAATCATGTGTTACCTTTCTGAGAACTCATTTTGGTAGAACAGGGAGAGAGATGGGGCAGAGAACCTGTAAGGAGCTATTGTGGAATCCCAGGAAGAAACAATGACACCAAGACCAATTTAGCAATGAGAACATCACACACCAAAATAAAACGTTGAAGTGCTGAATCTGTAATCAGGAAGATGAATTACTAGAAAGAAATGTGTCTTTGTTTTTAATCAAGAATTGAGAAACTTTTAAAAGCATGGCCAAAGTAAAATTAAATAAAATATCGACTATTCACACTGTGTCAGGTGCTAGAAGAATATGAATTAGTAGATCTGATTTTTTTTTTTTAAGGAACAAAAGATGTAGTGAAGGACAAGAAGCAGAACATTCCAGATGCCTTGTAGTATGTTGGGGTTAAGTAAAAGACTCAGCAGAAGCCTGGGGAAGAACATCCTGGGATTTCCTAGAGGTGAAAAGAGGCTAGTACATCCTGATGTAGGGTTTGCAAGGTGAAAGAGAACAGCTGGAGATTGTATTTTAATTAGAGGGCATAGTTTGTGTTAACCTAGGTGAAGGAACCACTTGATATTTGAAGTGGGCAACGTGCAAGGTGGTGAGGAGGCTGGCTGTGCAAGGCCGAAGTTGAGAGAGAGAGAG